ACTGTTCTTACATGAGGCCCAAATATTATAATGAATTAAATTTATACTCAAACTTTGAAGCTTCATAAATCCAAAAATCGAACTAATCTTGGCAAATCTTTTGACATTCCATTTCATCTAATACTAATAAAATTTTCTTACAGTGCTTTGTATGCAACAAATATTTTAAAATTGTTTCACAGAATAATTATACAGGGTGCCCAGTAAATCGCCTCTAATAATTTGAGAGGTGATTTGGGATCCGAAAAGAAGAAAAAAAAGTTATATAAACATAGGTTCGGAAATATCGTAAGTTGTTTCCGAGTTATATTCATTTTTATGTTACAAAAATTGTAATTTATTTTTCATAATCACAATTATAATAATAATTATAATTTATAATAATAATTATAATTACTCATAATAATTTATTTTCTTACCCAGATCATCACGTAGAGGCATAGTCTGGTTGGCATCCCTCTTTTCTATTTTCTTTTAATTTTTTTTTTCAATTTCTCGATATTTGTAAATACAATTATATTATTTTTAGAACGAAGGATAAACATAAACAGGTATTATGTATATGTATTACAATATATTATTAGCTTTTTTGTTATGCACAACTGTAAAAATGACAGCATGTCATAATGACAGCTGCTCGCGAAGTAAGTGCAATGAGAAAATCAATCAGAATCGCGAAAAAGAGGCTTCAAACACTTCGATGAGAGACGAGAGTTTCGATTTACAATAACATGCCTTTTTTCAGAAAGAATTTCGCTGTGGCTCTGACAGAACATTTCTTTGTTATCAATAAACAACTAATTGAAAAATGTTTAATTATGCCTTTAAAATAATTTAAAGTCAATCACAGTGAATATATAAACAATATATACAAGGAAGTAATATCTCAAACTTGAGTTTGCCGGCTTTGCCGCAATAGTATTTCATAATTATATGTGTAATTACACTTAATTTAACTTTGCATTTTAATTGTAACAGACTGGCATCCAATGCCGTACGCCAGCAATTATTCTTTTATCTCACTTACTGCGCAAAAAACAATTTCCAACAGTTTTCCACATGCACGCACCGTCGCTCTTACAATACTACCCGGGATATTCCAGTACACAGATGTATCAAAGAATCCCTCTTTTCTGTCAGTATTACAGTCAAATAAAATAAATGGCACACGGAGTGGAATTCTTTAGCTTTCGTTGAAAAACCTAAATTTATTTCTTTTAGTGTGCACTGTGAAAGGAGCCCGGCACAAATAAAAATCTATGCCGCGCGGGCCCGCAAAGTGGGCAACGTGAAAGGAGCCCGGTGCATTAAAGTCCAATGCATTTAGCGTGCACCCAACGGGCGCGAATACAATCGGGTCAGCGGCGGTGCTAAATGTAATTATTCTTTTCATATATATCGAATTTGCGACTCGTACACTTACGTAAGGTTTCTTTAAGACGGCCATAGAGAAAAACAGCTGTTGTGTTACGAGTTGTCAAAAAAATTGCTCGCAGATCCGCAAGTGACGAAGAAGATCCGCATTCGCATAAGCGCTGTATCCGTTACAGCAAAGATTCCCGGCACGGTTTTGTTTACTGATCGATTACTCGCAGATGGCGGTAGAATAAAAACTACAGAGCGTCGAATCACAGAATCGTTAGTGTTGTTGATAAATAATTTAATGGTTCGACGATTTCGTGGATAAAAGGTGACTTTCCACGATTTTTATTTCAGCATGGGTTGTGTGCAATATCACGGAATATTGACTTTTCTACGTTTACAAGACTCGAGAGCGTATCAAATGTCGCCCAAAATATTGACGTATCGTGTTCTGTATTGTCATTTTTTTTTCGAAATCAAGATCGCATGCATGTGCAAATATTAGATAAATTAGAAAATTTTACAGCGTTGCATATATTTACATCCTTTGTGGGTTAATTCTTGCGTGAAAATTTATCTACCGATTGAATTACATACTATCGAATTAATAACATGCACGCGCGTGCGTTATACGTCCAATCGCACTACGACTAGATGTGCTTTATAGAATTTCGAGTACATAGTAATATGTAATATGAACTCGCAATAACGGGCCGCTTCTAATCTCAATCAATTTGATCTGTACGCGAGTATTGGAACGTTTGAAGTTCAAAGGGAAACGTACTCGTGCTGTGCTAACACGTAGACATTGTGCGGCTATGTGTACAAGTTATAGGTGCACACTGATAATGTTTACTCTCGTATGAGCACAAAAGAGACTCAGAAAGCTGAAAATTTTGTTGCGTACATTTATCTCATTAAAAATCTTCTTTTAATCTGCTATAATCCTTTTAACATCGCACATTTTCATTTAACTACACTGTTGGAAAATTTGTGTTATATTTAACACATTTCGCATGTTCTAAACGGTCTACTTAAATTTTTGTGCTAATTTAATATAAGATGAATACGTTTTTCAAAGTAACACAAATATTATATTAAAAAATTAACATAAAAAATGTAACACGGACATAATTTGTAAGCAAACTATGGGAGCATATTTTTTCAATAAAATCAATAAAATTATGGTATTACATTAACACGTATTTTATTCATTTATGTTAGAATTTACGTTTTAAAACATATTATTTTTATGTTATTTGTTCACGTACTCATAAATTGTGTTATTTTGACACTAAGAAATGTTGAATATCAATTTAACACAAAATATTTAAATAACATAATCACATTATGTTAAATAATTAACACTCGAATATATTAAGAGTGTCATTACAAAATTTTAACAAACAATTTGAGTGAACCGTTTCTAACATAAATACAAAATGTTTTTTTACTGTGTAACACAGGCAAAGTACAGGCTCGATAATTGTTAGCTGTTTTACGTTTGCCTCCGCGATCCTTTCGAATCGGAGCTAGCAGCCAGAGACTCGCGTTCAGAAAAGGGTGCCAAATATCTCATACAAATACGTGCGCACATATAATTGAGGACAGAAATTACCAAGTTAAAATCTGGCAGAGCTCCCACGATCGCTTTGTGGAGGAGGCCGCGGGCGTGCGAGAGCGGGTCGAGCCGGGGTTAATAAACACGTAAGTCTCCAAGGAGTTGGCGGACGCGAACAGTGGCTGGGCGAGAGGGGGGGAGGAGGATAGGCTAAAGCATCGTTAGCTCGAGCCCCGAGCTATTCAGCTCACCCACGAAATAGTTTACGCCGACCGGTCCAGGTCCTACGGTACCGTCGAGCCGGCTGGGTGACACGTATTTAAGTGTCACAACTCACGAATGCGCGAGAAGAGCTCGGTCCCGCGCAACGAGTACTCGGCGGCGGAATGGAGAGAGCGTCGCGCCGCGCGGGCGACGTACAGTTCGTTAATTGTTACGGAAAGTTCGCGCGCCGTGTTCCGACCTCCGCAAGATTGCGGACAATATTAATGCCGCTTACAAACGCACAGAATTGTGTACCCCGCTCGTACCGTGTGTGTATAATGCATACATACATACATACGAGTACACGCGGAACACGAGAGCTGCAGACCTTTCCGCGATCGGACGACGCGAGAGCAGCGCTACGGAGATGTCGAAATAGAATCACCGCAAGTCACCATTCATCTGAATTCGCGTGAACAATGGTGGTGTACGTTATACCGCTCGTTTATTCGATACAATGAACCACGCTGGAGCGGCCATTTAAAGCGATGTTACTTACAATTATATAGAGAACTCGTGACGCACTTGTATTACAAAGCGCCACGATATATCCCCGTTACCGATCGCGAATGATCACAGGTCAACTGCAGCTCCGCGGGACAATCGATCTCGCGGCGTGGGTCAGTGGTTGTCTGCAGCTAATCCCCAGTTTATCATTGTTGAACATTCGCGTTCGGTATATACCTACCGGCACGCTGAATTAATGAATTTATTGCAACCATTTGTTCGTATGCATTTTCGGAGGAGAGGGCGCGTATAAAAAAAAAGGGAGAATTAAGGAAAAATCACGATGTATCGTCGGGGGCGTACATAAAACGTACTAATTCTTATTAAAAATAACACGAATCCCAAGAGCGAGAGCAAAATCTAGACTTGAAATAAGCTCCGACATAAAAAAAAAATTTTTTTCCACGATCGAACGTGCATACTGCAAATAGTATTGGACGTAAATAAAAGTTTTAATACGTTAAAAGCCGTAAGAGTATTACTCGGTATTAGCGCCAGTGCCATCCATAGCGCGTTCGTATCCGAAACCGCTAGCCCAGTGCTCCAGTGCGGTATGATGAAATGGACATGTAGCCGAAACCTTTCTCTAACACGCCGCAAAATACATATACACGCGGAATTGCAGGAACTCAATTCGGATTATCTTCGTTGCGATGGCAACGTAATGCATGATTATACCGCGGTGTAATCACGTAAACGTATATAAACATTAACTCGCTCGATGAGAATACGATCACGAATCCACGATAAGTAAAACATCGCGCGCACGGATAGATAGACAATCACTTATGAAACACGCAGGCGTGACGTTTGAAGAAATCAAATATTTTGCGTTCTATTATTATCTATATTTTTTATATCTATTATCTATATTTTTTCAAGGAGAAATCGATCACGCGCAATTTTGCGCAATAAATGTTTTACGAGATGATTACGTGCTGCAAAATTTAATTCCCGACTGCGCAAAGAAAAATATCGCGATCATCGCGCGCACGGATAGATAGACAATCATTTATGAAACACGCAGGCGTGATATTTGAAGAAATCAAATATTTTGCGTTCTATTATTATCTATATTTTTTATATCTATTATCTATATTTTTTCAAGGAGAAATCGATCACGCGCAATTTTGCGCAATAAATGTTTTACGAGATGATTACGTGCTGCAAAATTTAATTCCCGACTGCGCAAAGAAAAATATCGCGATCGCATCTCTAAAGCCTTTTTTTTATACCAACTTTGTTTTACGCTTCGGCAATTTGCGGCACGTCAGCCTTATTTAAATTTGAAAGAAGCTTTAAGGGAGGCCCCTATCGGTAAAAAAACACGAAACGTCTCGTCGAGACTGATCAAATAAGCCTCAAAGAAGGAAGGTGGGTGATCCTGATTGAGAGAAAATGGGTAGGAGGGGAGAGGGGATATAATGCAAATCGCAGCTCGTTTGTTATCGAGGTTCTAACCGCCCTCATCTAGTCGTTTCTCGGGATTTTGGAGAACGAAGCTGTTAAATGGATCAGCGGGCAAACCGTCAAAAGCTCAATGGCTTCCCTCTGATACGATCAAAATTAGCTTAATCAAATAACGCGATACTAATTGATTAGTAGCAATTAGTGAGACATGAAACATTAAATCTCTCCAATCAGACATAAATAAATGTTACACTCTTTAAAAAGAGTACGCAATAACAAGAATATGTTGTCTTTTTATACCGCACATAGATTCTGCGTCCAATCCATCCAATAATTCAAAAAATAACGAAAAAAAATTCCTTTTTATTTACGATATCCATTTTTTTTGCTCGGAGATTTGCGTGATGGCCACGTAGTCTGTTTCATTGTAAATTACATCAGGATGTATGAAATTTAAATAAAGCTAACGTGAACTCGGTGGAAATAACACAAATGAATGGGTACAACGAGAAAAGCCACTGGAATAAACGGTCGGTTTATGAATAGGACAGCGACGCTGCAAACGTGGCCGCGATGAATGCTATTTAACATTTAATCTTCCATTTTAACGAGGTATTTAAGCAATGTAACGTTTTCTGTGATTACGGGATTTTAAATCTAAATTTGCTTAATCGAGTTATCGTTCTCCAAAAGCCGGTGGCGTATAGATAAAAGTATCTATATAGACATCGCGTTTGTGTTTCATATACTTGTCGGAGGAACGTATAAAGCTCTCGAGCTAAATATGACAATATTAAAATGCTTCTTTTTTCTTTACAGCAAACGTGTATAAACGCAGGGTGAAGATTACGTTTCTGCATTTCCATTAATTCGTCTCTCACTTTAAAGCGGAGAACGTATATCACACCGGGAGCTTTGACCTTACAGTAAAACCGAGACGTTGACGTAGAGCTATGGATGGGTCATTCCGGAAACGACGAGCGACACGAGGCGTACGTGACAAGCGGCCCCTACGTCCAGCTCAGCAGAATACGATTGAAAATAAGGAGGCGTTAAGGCGACGTTACGACTTCACGGTCTCACTATGTTACGAGGGTCTTCCCATGCCCTTAAGATCTACCATTACAGCCGTATTATTCGGTCGATTGCGCTGCACTGCGGATGCGCCCCTCAATCGAAGATGCAAGCTTCTTCTCGTGCGACTCTCCTCCCGAGCCGTTCGTCTGGTAACGATTTTTTTTGCAATTAACGTATGTGAGAAATTTGCACAAAATGGATTATTATATTTCGACGGGGAGAAATTATCCGATGGATTGTGGAAATAATTAACTCGGCGTGTCGTTATAATCATACGCCCGCGCGCGCGCGTGTGATATCATAATCGGCTCATGAATATCCTCTTAGAACCTAATGTGGCATTAAAGTTCGTTAGTGCGCGAAGTAGAGTTTCAGTATTCTATCTTAGTATATTCGCAATTTCGTTTAGATCTCGATCGTATATAATATCTCTACAGGTACTAATATCGATAATGATTTAACTGTTTCATTATACATCGCCGAAATTAGCTAATTTTGGCGATTTAACCATATCATTTCAGGCGAAAGATTCAAGATAGCTTTCAAATCATATTCGGAAAAATTGACAATCTACTTATCACCGATATCCGAGACAGAATTTTATAGATAATGATTTACCCCCGAAGAAATCTTCGGGAGCGCGCGCGGCGAACGTCTCATCCACTTGCACGACTTTTTGCCTATGCGAAGCGCAAACCAAGTAAACAGATAACTAAAGAGACTAGACGAAGTTTCGCAATGCGAGCGCTGCCGGAGAGATGGTGGATGGTCGGTGAGTACGGTTGGGGACAATTAGGGCGGTTTCACCGACGCAGGAAGTGACATCAGGTTGCCGTGTACCCTCGAGGCCATTGTTCGCGACACGTACAACCCGCGTTGCCTCTCGACTACTTCCCACCCATCCACCCACCCAACCCACCCCTTCATATCCCACCCCGAAACTGTCAACCATCCTCACGGTGAACCCCAGTGCTGACCTACAAAATGCAGCAGCTTGTCGAGACCGGTTGCCAACGGTTTGCGACAGTTACGTGAGGAACCGCCGCGTCCTAACTGGCTGCGACTTGGTTATCGAGATGCTAGACCGCCGCATCCGTATAAATATACGGGGAAACTAAAGAAAACCGAGAACAATCACCGCATCGCCGATTCATCGCGTATATTATTCGTTAGAAGCGGCGCGCTTTTATATATTATAATTAGATTCACTCGAAAAAATAATTATAGATATATTTATTTTAATTAGTTTAAAACTTTTTGTTTTTTACAAAAGTTTTACCACGTTCACGTTAAAATAAAATTACTTATGTGATGTAATTTTCTTGGTATCAGATTCGTAAAAGACATTCCATGTATATTATATGTATAATCACATGAGTAAACTTATAAACTAACAATGGCTTTTCAATATAACATTCTAGAATTAACCACATACAACATTGCTTCTCACTTTAGTCTCGAGAGAGCATTTCGAGTCATCCATTTAATTAAAACCAGAATAATTTCTCAGGTTTCATGCGACAAAAGCTTGAAAAAGCGTGAATTCTTAGTAAAGAAAATGATTTCGTTTTTATCTTGAAAAGACTTTGTCTCAAGTACCGTTGTCTCTTTCTTTAATATCTTAATCTCTTGTATTTGTCTGAAATTACGATATTTTTCAATATCAGTAGCTATACTAGACATCATTATATTTTTTAACTTTTATTTATAATAAACGAAATATTGACGAAAAAGAGTAGCTTAATCCTGCGAAATTAGTTTCGCCTGTTTGTTAAGCCGATCTTAACGTTAAAATTGTAATTATTGAAAAGTCGATGGCAAATGAATTCAGAATTGATACGTATGGATGTACCGTAATATACGTTATAGGGATACGCGCTTTGACCAGAAGCCAATTGTAATATCGAAGTCAATTTCATGATGTCCCATCCAATGTGCAAACCGAGAGATAATCGGGCGATTTCGATGTTTTGCTAAATGAGCCAAATTTTGGGTGTGCGCGCGCGTATATTCATCCCGGAATATAGAGATAAACACCGACTGTACAATGGGGCATGAAGCAACGAGATGGACAATGGGCAATTAGCACGCTCTCCCAGCGCATGTTTCCGCGCGCAATATTTGCTTCCCTCACCCCTCCCCGCGTTACTACCGTAATTCTTCAGCGAAAAATTTTCAGCAAGGCACCTACACATCGTTACACCACGCACACGATGATATGCGTATATAAAACGAAATCGTGCCCTTTGAATTTAAAGCGCGTGAGCGATATAAGAGTGGATGAGACGCGACGATGAGATACGAGATTGCATCTGTGGTTAGAGAATTCCGCGAGAGCGGAATGGGCTCCCATGGGCGGTTCCTATATCGTATGCCTGCACCGATACCACTATACATGCTGTAGTTATTCGCCCACGGAATGAAGCTCTCGGATCGTTTTCTCGAAATATCATCGGCCGTATAGGCTAACTGTGAGAAACACAATTTCAGCATTTCTTTTAATATATCACGCGCGCGCGGTTGGTATCGCGAAAAACGCGAGCATCATCGAACGAAATGCGCCACCAACAGTTTCGCGAGATCTCCTCGGAAAAGAATCCCATAAGATAGATGGAACGCGAAAACATCGGCTATAATTTCGTTGCAGCCTTTGCGACGCAAAAATGCCGGGACATTCACGGAATGCTGTAGCGATGAGCGCTACCTTGGATGGATAAAATAATGCATAATGACGGTAAGCGGATGAAGTCTACACATATATACGTACAAAGAAGAATCGCACGGAAGCAAAAGCGCGGACTACGTACGTTACGTTTTGTTTCGTACATGTGAAAAAAATTCATGCGGCAATACATGGTAATAAAAACAGCACGAGTATGTAACGTAAGTAGCAAAAGTATATAGTTTCCAAAGATAAATCATTAACTAACTTACATTGGAAAAGAAAGAATTGCGCAAATTTCGGCCATTACCGTTACAATTTAATATTTCCCGTGTTTTTCTTTTCAGAGTCATTTTGTTACAGTTCGACAATTATCGTATTTTTCCTTTTAATTTAAAGTAGTGGAAAGAAAATGTATAAAGTTAAACCGTTATTTAATTATCTTTTATATATGTTTACTTTGTACGCCAGCAAACGGAATTGTATTTATCTAAAAATATTTGTACGATTCAGTCTTCTAACTTTCTAAATAGTTTTAATATAAGTATGGCACCTTTAAACGAGTAACGCGCGCTCGTGAGTGTGTGTATCACATGTGGATACAAAAATGGAATAATCTCCTCTTAATACGTACATGTGCTCAAGATAAATGTTTTTATAGATTAAACATGTTAAATTAAAATATCAACGACACAATTTTCCTGATGACATTCCTCAAGTCACTGTTATTTGTAACATTGAAAAACGAAAATATTTTCTAAGGCTAAATCAATACCGATTCAATATTTCATTATTCTAATTTGCCAACGATTCCGATAATCAGTTTCTTCTCAGCGATAAATTCCAAGGTAAATTCCTGCGAAAGATATTAAAATAAGATTCGTTTTTATCTACGTTGTTATACGAACTTGTCGCGCTGTATACCGCATTTCAGCCGACATAATGTAAAAAAAAAAAAACTGGACAATTAAGTGGTTACGAAAGTCTGCCGGGAATGTCACGCGGTAAAAGGCAGGGCTCCCTTGAAAACTGCGTTTTCACGGGGTGCGCTATGGCCGAAGTCAAAAGGCGGAAGGACCACAGACGCGGATGAAGGTAGATTAAACATTTTTGAGTCGCGCCATTAAGCTCGGTAATAACGAATTTTACTACTCCGGGAGCACCCCAGCTCTCCCGGCTTCCGCGCGCCAAGTTAATTACTTTCTCGCTCTGAGGACTTTAACCTCTCTTCTCATTTGTTTGAACATCTCAGGCCGACCTGCAGAGAGGCGCGCGGAGGCGCGTCCCTCCTTGGCCTCTCCCCTTATCTCCGCTGCGTTTACCTTCTTACCCTACGATGTTCTCGCCTTTATTAGTCTTTAGCTCGAACAAGTCTTCGAGGACTTTTTGAACTTCGAAGCGTCTGCTACCTCCTCAGTTTCACGGCGTCAAATACATTTAAGTCAAACATTAACACGTCCAGCGCATGTTACTCGAGACACACGAAAAACGTTTCACCCGCCAGATTCCCAATATTTTCTCACACACGGAGAACAGGAATATTTCTGTACATTCTCTTAATATAATAGTTAAATTATGATTGCGTTTCGAGAATAACAATAAAGTTAGAAATAAGAATTTTTAATGTAAGAATGTATTTTTTATGATTACATAAATATCCACCTAAAAAAATATTTTTGTTGTGTTTTTCATTTCTAAGTGTTTCCTCGGCAACCCTTTGACATTCTGTCTAGTATTAATAGAATTTTCTTACAGTGCTTGTCCGCAACAAATGTTTCAAAATTGTTTCACAGAATAATTATATGTATGTAAAATATATTTATAAATATGTTTAATTAATATATAATATATAATAAATTGAAGGAAATAGGCCTGTAAGAATAACTTGTAGATTATACTATATTGTAATTCAAAAGTTATATTTACTTGGAGCATTAAACATCGTGCTTTGGTTATTGACTGCCCTTTACCTCTTATTAATTTAATAAATTGTAAGTAATAAATAGAGTAAGACATAAGTGATAAACACATGATAAGAGGGTGACACAATGTATTGTAAATAGGAATTCGCTAAAATCATCCGAGAGAGAAATGATTGGCCCGGTAGCCGAAAGTCAAAGCAGGAAAAACGAGTTAGTCCGGCGATGTCTCGGTTATGTATTGAGAATATGATTGGAGAAATATACGAGTACCAAACAAGCTTTGCATGAGTTCTCTTTTCTCTCATTTCATATAAAATCAAATATATTGAAGTAATGCCTATTGAGCCGACATGGGTTGGTGTGTATTAATTTTCATTATTACAATATTCATAACTACACACAAACTGCGCGCCGCAATATTTGTTGGTTTTTAAACACAGTTCTTACACGAAGCCGGAATCCTTTTTAATAATTAAACATTTGATAATGTATAAGAGTTTTTTAATATTACTATATTTAAATTGTATTGATGTTATATGTATGTAAAATTATTTATTTATATATTAATACAATTAAGTATGACATAATAGTTATCATTCACGTTTAAATCGTGATAGTAATGATGCATGTAATATATTTGAGTTGAGTGCATTTATTTTGTACATGCACAATCTCATTTATTAATGAAACAGTATTTAAGAAATGCATTTTATTTTATTGTTAATTTAATTAACCTTTTGTTTCACAAATTTTTATATCAGACTGATTCATTTGAAACTTTGTACTCGGGGATTTTTCGGGTTGCTGATTATGAATTCAAAATAATTTTAAAATTCTAAATGGCCGATCCAGTACGGTGGATCAATAATACAAATAATTTTAATAAATAATTTAACATTTCATTATTTGTATAAAAATAAATTATTTAGTAAGGAACAGATTCAGAGATTCCAAAATACTGAAAAACTAACACTAAGTAATAAGACTATTATTTCGTTTTTGATCCATCAGACCAGTTGCACCATTTTAAATGTAATTTGTAAATGCAGCGCAGTTTGTGGTATTAGAATATGTACATACGTAAAATTCACGCAAAAATATTAGTAAGCACCAAGATCCTACTATAACCGTTCGTTGGTTTTCTCTCAATTTAATTGTATTAACACAAATATGCAATGTATAAACATATATATAGTTAATTTGTAAATTTTGACCTCAGATTAGGATTCAGCAAGGTTGGATAAATTAATGTTATTTTTAACTAAATTAATTTAAAGTTAACAGTTTTAAAAATGTAACTTACAATTAGTTAAGTTAAGATACAAATTAGTCCATAATAAAACTGGTTAAATTAAAAGTTAATTTAATAAAAAGTTAATTAAAAAGTTAAAAGTTCAATTTTTTTTAATTTCATAATTTTAGGATTTCTAAATAAAGTGTATATTTGTTATACTTATTTCTATTGAGGAAAGAGGACCTATTTCGAAGAACATCCAACATGATTTAATGTATAAAAGGTCCGCGAACAGTGATTCCTTCTCACGGCTAAACCATATATAATATATTATAACAATTGCTTTAATGTGCGTTCTCAAATTTAAGTTTGATGACACCAACACAGATATACATTATATTTTGGGTTTACAAGAAGCACTAAAAATGTAAATTAAAGAAAATTAGATCAAAAGTTAATAGTTACCGATAAAATGTAATAATAATTTAAGTTAAAATTTGAGAGTCTAAAATGTAAGTAATAAGGGAATTTTGCGAAGTGTTAAGTTCTGATTTTAATGAAAATTTGTAAACTTATAGATTACGTAAACAAATGAATTTAAAAAATTAGTTGGTACTAAAAGATGGTTTGAAGGGATGACATCATCCCTCATATGTAAAGCAGATTTCAGTTCTTTTTGTTATATAATATCTCGGAAACTATTCAAGATCGATATCAAAAAATGTTTTACATTTTATGTATAATATTAAGAGGATCCTAAATCCTAGATCAAACTCCAAAAATCCGCTGTTTTACCGACAATTTGTGAGTATGTATGCGTGCGATATTGATGCAGTAGTGTGTAGTGATGTGTCATGTTTATTACTACATCAATA